CTACAGCTGCGTGCGAATTCAATCCCAATGCAGGTTGCACATACAGTCACTGAGCCTCTCAACAACACATCTAAATCACTTCCAAAAACGAAAAAACCCTTAAAGTTTTGCACAGCAGTGGATTGACTGTGAAGAAAGTAAAAGGTGTCGTGCGGCAGCTGCCTAGACCCCTTACCGTTCAAGAAATGCATCAACTGGTCAGTACTGAAGGGCCTCTCGCAGAACTGCCAGGAGTAGCGGCTGAAGAACTACATGAGGTGTTTGAGAGGATTATGGACGACCAGGAAACAGCTCCTGAACAGAGGTGAGGAGCTTTTTATCTGGACCACGCGACGTTCACCGATTCCTTTCCTCCCTTTGATCCATCTGGCACTCTGGCCGACTGGGTTGGGAAGCAGGGGAACGAACAGAAGAAAGAAGGTCGCCGTGCGCTAAGGGATCCCCGTAGAAGAAGGGTCGTATTTGGTTCAGGAACACTTCTCTAAACTGTTCGTTTTTTTCTATTTCAAGCGCGCTATTCTCAGCGTTGGGAGACACATTCCATTGTGGAGGGGATCGTATTTCCTTTGAGAGGGGAGGGGGGGGTCGTATTTGGCCTTAAGGAAATTTCTTGCGGTTGTTCACTTTTTGCGGCTCCTCCCGTTTCCCATTTATGCTATATTTCTTCCTCTCCTCTTTCGCCCCAACGGTAATTTTTGGGGGAAAAGGTGGAGGAACTTCGAAAAGGAAAACTTCCGGGTAAGTGGTGGGGAGTTGGTAAAACTTGTAGTTAGGGAGACCGAGCGAAGTGGGTTTCGGGGCGAATGTTGCGCACGTCACCCATTTTGGAACGCCTCTTCTGACGCACTCGCTGCGACTCGGAAGTAACGCTTCCCACCCGTCAAAGAGCGATATACAGGGGCGATGTATGGAATGAAGTAATCAAATATTATTAGTAGGCATATCACAGCGGTAGCATCATAGGAATCCAGAGCAATGACTGTCAGAAACTGAACCCACTTACTGATACTGCCATCTTTCAGCGAAACCATCCACCTTGACAACTACAGAGACTCCAGCTCCAACCACCACGACAAGCTCGACGACCTCCTCGACGACAACTCCTCAGCCAATCGCGGAAATCATTCCTGTACGTAACCCCATCATTTTGACTCTTCATTAGCCGAAGATTCAATGTTTTTTTCAGGATAACGAGCTTGAAGAAGAGGTAGTGGTGGTCAGCGATGCCATTGTCATACGATTACCCCACGAAGCATACGTAACCGGTTGCAATGAAAATGCTCAGTGTACATAATTGTTCGCTCCTAATAAAACTATTCACCTGATAAAAAAATCATTTGGTAAAAAAATGTGAAAGAAGTCCA